AAATGGTTTCAGTGGTTATTTAGTGTTCTAGAAACAAGTATATTATAATTACAGAATAAGAAAATTCATCTAGTTGACATTGACATAATAAATGAATACAAAATTTGCTTTCTTTTCTAATTGTATTGAATTTTATACAAAATGAACAAAAACAAATGGTTTCAGTGGTTATTTAGTGTTCTAGAAACAAGTATATTCTAATTACAAGAAAATAAAACTCATCTAGTTGAGAATGAAATAATAAATTATTAGAAAATTTTTGGTTTCTGTCTGATGATACTGAATTTTATATAAAATGAACAAAAACAAATGGTTTCCTTTACTATACTAGAAACAAGAATGTTATAATTACATAACAACAAACACTTTCTAAAGGGTTCTTCAAAAAAATAAACTTTGCAAACATTTCTTTCTAAAACGTACCTCGTTTGTTGTCTATTTTTCTCTTCTCATTCTTTGTTTCTTTTTTATGCAACCGAGTAGTCAGAGAAAACGAACTTTACCAATCTTTTTTGTGAGATCGTGGTCGGTGAAAAAAAAAAAAGAAAAAAAAAACGAATAGAGGTAAAAAGCGTTTCGAATGTATTTGTACAGATGGAATTAGTAAAACGGTTCGGTTTGATAGTGTTTTAAAAACGTAATTGCATGTATCACATAGAAACAAAGAAAACTATTACGCGTTCTCCTAAAACGTTTTATCTTTTAAACACAAACAAAAAATTGGGATTCTTCTGCAAACCGAGAAAAAAAAAAGACATTCGCTTTTTCTCTTTACATTTGATTTTCGCAATCACCGATACAAAAAAAAACAAATATTCATTCGGTCAATTTTCTTTTATTTAAAAAAGAAAACAATTCGTCAATATTTTGCGTATTAAAATAAAATAATAGATAATATAAATATATTAATAGCACGTGTGTGTGTGTGTGTGTGTTTGTAATCGAATAGAAAAATACTGATTAAAAAATGTATGAGTTACTTTAATGTAGATCATATTTTATGATGCTTTTAGAAAGGAATACTTTGAAAAATATTTGATCAAACTGTTTTTACTTGTTGTTAAACGAAACAAAAATGATTCTATTCGCTTTAGTATTAACGTGAAATGGTTTTTTTATTTATTTTTACAGGCTCGATGACGAGCGGTATTCCGGGAGGGCCGGAAAATATAACGGTGATGTTCCTAAACCCGACCTCCGTCCGTGTTTCTTGGAGCACCAGCCAGGTTGAACAAGTTGAAAAGTACGATGTTACCTATAGACCGACGGACGCCAGGTGCGTTCCCATTATTTCAATATTTATTCTATTTTTTTTTATAAGCAATATCCACTTAATCATTTTGAAAGTCTTCTTGATACCATTAACACGCACAACATTAATATTATTAACTTAATTAATATTAATAATTAAATTATATATTGATAAGTTGGATAATAAATTTTCCTATACTTTTTACAATAATTAAATAAATATTTAATTGTTCTAAAACAATACAAAATTCACCTAATAATTTTGACAGTGTTTCTAATACCATTTACACGCACAACATTAATATTATTAACTTAATTATTATTG